ACTTTTAAATTTTTTTAAATTTCTAATAGGATAAATGTCAATGATGAGACACACACGAGCAAAAGGTTTCTGAGGCCATTAGCAACTTTCCAGAGTATAAAAGTGTTCTGAAACCAACAAGTTGGAGTCTCTGACCAAGGCTATCCTAAGGGATACAGAAGAAGCCTACTCTGCTGCTTTCTATTCTAATTGCAGCTTTCCCTAAAGTATCAGAAAAAGACATTAAAAACCAAACTTGCTTGTTCTGTTACGTATGAAGCAGAAAGCCTTCCTTTCCTGAGCTTTGGCTATGAAAGGCATATTTGGTCTTGGGTATCAAGGAAGTAGCTTTACTTACAGTGTCAAAAAGCCTTAAGGCATCAGTTTCTTTTGTTTTTCCTCCTTTGGTCTTTATTCTTCATTTTCTTTTTCCTTATTTTCCTTTTTTAATTGTACCCTAACACTGCACTTTCTAACTTGAAAAAGAATTAAGGCAGATGGAATTCAAGACTGAAAAAAACCTTCTATAATACTTCTGCTAAACAGGATGAGAATGCATTTAACTAGAAAGCTTTGCCTAACAAATAAATATTAATAGATTATCTCTATTTGAGACTTACTGAGTTTGAGCTGGAGAATGTAAAATGTAAAACTGATCTAGAGTGTTATGTACTGTGTCAATCAGATCCCCTTTCAAGGCTAAGGGATTTATTCCCCCAGGAGCTGGGTTGGTTGTTGGAGGGCTGAAAGCTGATCAGCTGAGAGCTAACATGTGTATAGAAGCCTGACACCCTCACCTCAACTCAGCACAACTCTCCGGGGCCCACTGACCTTTTGTGATGGCACCATAGTCCTCCTTCTCCTTCCCAATCTGGCATCCTTCCTTTCTCCCACAGCTGTTGATCCTAACAGCTGCCTGAACAAACTTTCTGAGAAGAGAATTATGGTGACACATATTAAATGAAGTAACTATGTAGATGCATAAGGGAGCATCAGCCATGTCTTAGAACTACAGGAAGGCTTCCTAATGGAAATGAGTTCTAAAGCTGAAAGCTAACGCATGCGCCAGGGTTAGCCAGGCAAACTGTGGGTGGAAGAGGAGAATTTCAAGAAGAAACCACAAACCAAGAAAGGTCCAGAGGAGAAAGACTATAATTTATTTGTACCACTATTTCTTAAAACATTTTTCTAACTACCTCAGAAAAAATCACTAGTCACAAAATAATCAATATATTTTATACTCAAAATTCGATCCAAACCCTTCTTTATCGTTGTGCTTATAACATAATTTTCTCACTTGTCATTACTTAGCTCTGTTCTCTCTCTCTGTGTGCCTTTCTCCTCCTCCCAAATCTGCCATGTGTGCGAGCAGAGAACTCGAAATCATAAGAAAAGAGTCTTCTGTGGGAGACAGCAGAGTCTAGCTAGCCATTCTTCAGCTGGGAAACAGAGAGTACTTCTGCTTCTTGGCTCTCACCTGAGTCTAAACATGGATTCCTTCACTATTACTTTCATATTTTATTTGACAGGCTAGACATCTTCCCACTTTGTCCTTACCTCTCTATAGTTGTAACTGAAAGCTAGATTGTCAAACTACCAGCAGCTGATATATATAAATCAGGAGACCCTATCTCTTAGCTAGTTCTTTGTATCCTCCTATGTTCACCTGTGGCCACCATTTCTACACCAGGTAGTGAATATTTTTAAACCAACTGCAAATATATCGTAAATAAGTATTCGTTTTGTAACAGTACTTTTATCCATTTATTACTGTTGTCTTGGAATAAAGCTGCACAACAGTATTTTTTGTACATAATAATACCTTGTTATGAGTAGAATGCTTTGATTCTCTCAGAACGTTCTTTTCCACGAAGGAGCATAAAAGCAAAATCCCAGCACACATGAAATATTTTCTAGATCCAAACTGCACTTCAAATAACACATTTTCCTCATCAAGGTATTTATAAAAGTTTAAACCTTCTACTCTGAGTCATTTTTGATCTATGTGTACCATTTACCCTAATAACCCATCTGTATACAGAGAGCCTGATTTCAGAATACATCCTCTTTTTTAACTGTCATTTCACTAACCTCTTAAAATGTCCTCACTGGCTAATCAGAAGTAGACTTTAAGTCAACCTCATTTGTTTCCAAATCATGACCTACTGATTAATATTTTAATTTTATTTTTGAATACTTCTTCCAATGCAGACTGATTATTCTCAAATTGTCATGATCTGTATAATATGTTGCATTCTCGTATTCTAAATTTTTGCATGTATTTTACCGTATTCATTGTAGAATGTAACGGTATACAATGCTGAGGGGAAAATAAAGAGGAAAAGTGATGCTTCATATCACTATTCTAATAATATTAAAGACAACACCAACTATTGCCATATATATGAAGAGGGAGACCTAAGCATCTAAGACCACCTCCCGCTTGACTTCCACACTGCATTTCAATAGATGTAAAGGCTGGCAGACTGGGTGCTACCTTAATCACCCTCCTATAGATCGCAGGTATGGTATGGGGGAATCTTTCTGGAAGGCATTGCTTTTACTTAAACAAGATCAACCCCCCACCTAAGCCACATACCCTAAGCCTACTCGATGAACCAAGACCCTTTCACATGTAATTTCTAAATCTGTAAAACCAAGATCCCTATCCCTTCACCTGTAATTTCTAGAGTTGTGAGCCTATATAAGGACAGGGATTTTCTTTGTTAGACAAGCCTGGCTTTTAAGCAGCTACGCCACCTTGCTCCCAGTCAAATAAATCACCCTTTCCTTCCCAGTTCGGTGTCTGAGAGGTTTGTTTCTTGCAGCTGTTCCTGCTTTATATGGAATGCTTACTATGCCTTAGGTATTGAAAGAAAAGTTGCATTGGGACAGATGAGCAAATAGAAGTTGGTATTATTCTAACACTATTGCCGTCAATAGAATGGAGAGGACAGACCAAGTCAGGAAACGCAGCTCTGCTGAAATAAAGGGAAGAAGAGTTTTTAAGAGCTGGAGTAGAGAATCATAGGCCATCTGTGTTTGCTAGTTGGCTTTACCAAAAAAGTAAGTAAACTTTCTCTTACCTTCAAGACAGGGAAGTAGTTTTACAACTACAAGATACCCACTGAGGTTAGGCTATCCTACAGAAACTGGGAGATCTGAAGGCTATATTCCTTGGTGATTACATTTCAAAGAGATGGGGCCTGGGTGTGGGTCTCTGAGAAACATAAGGGTTGTATAAGTGGAAAAAGACATTTTAAAAAATTTACATTGCAAAGGGAGCAAACAAAGACATTAAAATTACAAGTTTTCTAAAGTAAATGAATGCTCTAAGAAATGGTAAGTAAGGGGCCTAGGGTCAAAAAGAAGCCTGTTTATAGTTTAGTCAAGCTGGGGGCTATGTTACAGCTGTTTCAGTCATAGGCAGTGGGTTAAAGAATTTTAATAGTATAACAATAGCTAACATTATTAAGAGATAATTGAATGCCAGGAACTACATTAAAGATACTATATGTGTTTTTTCATCGAGTTTTATCAATACTATACAATAAAGATCTCCAACTTAGAAATAATGAAACTATGGTTCAGGAGGACTACAGGAATTTTCCAAGATAACTTGTCCTTTACTGGCAGAGCTGAGCGTTTGTCACTGTTTGCTCTGATTCCAAAGATTGTGCCATATGTTTCTTGGTTATCAGTGACATTTCATTTGAGTCTATGTTGCTGTTAAAAAATTACATCACTTGCATAAAGAATTTTGAGAAAACATTTTCTTTCTGAAAACATTAATGGGCCTGTATTACTAGAAAATTGTACCTGGATTCTCAAAGCAAACTCTGCCATTACCATCTTCCCATGGGAATGTTTGAGAAAGAGTTCTCATTAAACATTACTTCATAGCAGCAGTAAGTATAAATAGGGATAAAATACATAAAATGAATTAGCATGTAAATATAGGAAATTCATTTATTTCTGGTAAGGAAAAATAAAAATTCAATCTGTACATATTATACTTTAAATATATTTTCTGGCATTTTCTACGGGTATTGTCTGACACTTTTTGTCCAATTCTAGGTATTGGCATGTATTCCTCTTACACAGGTAACATCACACATATGCTAACATTTAATCCACAGATGTCAATACACGTTATGATTATATAATTGTTTTGTCTTTCGACCGGCTAATCAGCAGTAGGTATTAATGCAATTTATGATGTTTATATTTTTAACAATTATCTTTGAATATATCCCCTTTCTCTCATTTAAAAAAGGTAAAATGCTTTTTAAAATATTAACTTTGTTGGTGCTACAGTTATTATTACTGTTAACATGTTAGTCTTTCTTGACAGTTACTTTATAAATTACCAACACATAGTACACTATGAATCTTCAGTACCAGGAATAAAATACAGAAGGTTATAGGCTACACAAATGGCATATTTTTTGGTTTTGTTTTTGCTTTTTTGATACAAAGTCTTGTTCTTGTCCCCCAGGCTGGAGTGCAATGGCATGATCTCAGCTCGCTGCAACCTCTGCCTACCAGGTTCAAGCGATTCTCCTGCCTCAGTCTCTGGAGTAGCTGGGATTACAGGCACCTGCCACAACGCCTGGCTAAGTTTTGTATTTTTAGTAGGAATGGAGCTTCACCATGTTGGCCAGGCTGGTCTTGAACTCCTGACCTCAGGTGATTTGTCTGCCTTGGCCTCCCGAAGTGCCAGGATTACAGGAGTGAGGTACCACGCCTGAACCAAATGACATGCTTTTAAGAAAAATTTCTACGTAGAAAATTACATGCCTCGATTTTTTTCTTACCCTTTTAATATCTCTCTCCCATGTGACAAAAAATCATTATAAGTAAAAATCGATGAATGGGACTTGCTTAAAAGTTTATGCATTCAGAATTTTACTTAATTATCAATGCCTAAAATTTTTCAGTTTCCGTGATTTAATATACTATTTTAGTCATTCCTAATACTTAAATGAGCCAAAATCAGCTAGCCTTTACAAGTAGTTTTTTTCTAGGTGATATGGTTTGACTGTGTCCCCACCCAAATCTCATCTTGAATTGTAACTCCCACTATTTCCTCATGTTGTGAGAGGAACCCGGTGGGAAGTGATTGAATTATGGGGGTGGGTCTTTCCTGCACTGTTCTCTTGATAGTGAATGAGTCTTACGAGATCTAATGGTTTTAAAAATGAGAGTTTCTCTGCACAAACTCTCTTTTTGCCAGCTACCATCCATGTAAGATGTAATTTGTTCCTCCTTGCCTTCCACCATGATTGGGAGGCCTCCCCAGCCATGTTCGACTGTAAGGGTCTCATTAAACCTGTTTCTTCTGGAAAACATCCAGTCTCAGCTATGTCTTTATCAGCAACATGAAAATGGAGTAATAAACTAGATTTCTGTTTTTCTACCTGTCTAAGCTTGGAGCCATTCTGAGATGATTCACAATTCTTAGACTCAAGTAAAATGACACTGAGCTTAGGCTAAATAAGGATCATAAAACCAGGATAACATTATCTATTTTTTCCCCCTAAGAAGATACATAGGCTGCCCCAAATACCAAAAAGTAAGTAGCATTTTGGTGCCCTGAATCTTCTGGCTACCTGGAGTTCCTTAGTTAGTTGTAGAACATGTATAATCATATTCTGCTTGTTAATCTTTCATTTCTACTTTTTTCCATCTGAAGAAAAACATGGTGCATTTTTTCCTTTCGCGTACTTTTCCTCTTTTAGCAATCTTAAGCTGACAGCTTAACAGAAAAGAAAAAAAATAAAAGTACCACAACATCTTTATGAAATGTAACTTCAATGTAATACCTTCCGCAATCACTTCTGTCACCATTTAATAAGGGTATTTTCTTCAAAGGATGTAAAGTACCATTTGATAATGAATGGTATGCATGCAGTGAAACAATATGTATGCAATATCTCAACAACTTATGTTTAGAAAATATTTTTTCTGCTCCTCTTTTTAGAAATCTTCCAGCTACTGGTTAAAGAAAAAAAGTCTGGCATGAATCCATAATAATCAGTTCTGGCTAGATTAGAATTTATACATTCATAGGGCCTTATCAAATTTGGCTCTAAAAATGGTTGTGGTGCAATTCTAAGCAGCAAGTAAAATGTCTAGTAATCATTCCCTTCCAAATAGCTGAGGCCAGCATGTTTAACCACAGTGATTTGTAAATCTGTCACCAATTTTCTTTTTTATAATCAGTAAGTACATATCTACTCAAGAGTTTGCTTTGGACTTACCTGAATTGACCAAACACTTCATCCTGTTAGTGAACAAGTGTTGAGAAAAATTTTGAGCATATTTATGATCTTCAGACTAGCACATAAACTCTGATACAGGAAATTTTAACCACATCCTTATAGCACTTACTTTTACTGATACATATCTACATGTATACAACAAATTTACAATAAGTAGCTAAAGAATTAGAAATCTAACACATTAATGTAAGTGATATGAAATGAAATACCACTAAGCTAACTGATCTAATATTGAAAAATGTTTTTACTTATCAATACCTGATGTAGAGAGACATCAAAAGACTCAGACCTAAAAATTATTAGAACAATAATAAATTCAAGAGGTTATTCAAGTTTTTAAATTTTAGCTAATATTAATCTGAGAAGTTATGTAGTAACTATCACTATTACTCTTTTTCTACTTTAAACGCTTACCCCATAAATAGTGTTTTCAGTCTCAAGGCCACAGATGACAACATGAATACCACTGAATTTAGTCCCTTTCTATGACAGAACAGTTATGGAAGACCTGGCTATCCATTTCTGACCAACTTCAGAAATACCATGTATTCTAAGCAGTGGTATTCAGAACTAGCTACTTTAGAATTGTCAGAATTGCCTGAGAACGTCCAGCTATGTCTATATGTGTACACACACATACACACACACACACACACACACACACACACACAAACACACAATCCAGAGGTCCATTCTCAGTGATTCTGATCAGTAAAGATAGGGTGGTGGAAACTCAGTATTTTTTATAAGCTCTCCAGATATGTCAGATATACATCCAAATCTGGAAATCACTAATCTAGAGCATATTGCATTTCTCAGACAATTTTGTATCTTTTTATATTATTCAGTGTAGAATTTACAATTTCAGTCCCAAAAGGAACAGAAGACAGAGTCTTTAGATATATAATCACAGATGTTAGAATTAAAGTCTAGATGTATTATGTTCAGATTAGTCTCACGTAACTATTGCCATTGATCAAGGACTTTTCATGTAAACCTCTATGTATTACTTAAATACAGTTATTCACAAAGATAAGAAATGGGCCCTGTTTGACTATAGTTATATATAGACGCAGAAAAAAAATGATGCTATAAAATGATATACCTCTTGGTGCTGGATCTACATATGGCAACCAGGATACATCTCAAAATAAACAGATATTTAAAAACAGAAAGAAAATGAGATTTATAGGATACAGACATTTATACTTATTTTAAACACTAGCATGGAATAGCAATATATAGTTTCAGTTCTGTACTTACACGTATATATATCTGATATTCATTAAATCCATAAGAGTAGAAAAGGTATGAATATAAGGATAGGGAAAAAAGTAAAAATAATAAAAGAATGCAAAAAGAGTACTTACACAAATCAATACAACAGCATTTCATGAAAGAGAATAATTTAATTCTGTGAACTTGAGTTTAAAACATTAGAAAAGAGTATCCATAATATGAAAATGTGACAGCTTTATTTTTCATACCGTAAGACTTGTAGACATTGGGTCTACAGGTTTTATTGCTTTAGTGCAGTAAGTACCATAGCATACACTATGTGAATTTAAAAAAGAATGGAATGTAATTTTTAAGCTGTCATCAGGAATTGCAGTCAGAGTTAGAACCATCTTTATTTATAAAGTATCTTGATAGGGCACATTAAGTGAGAACTGTTTATCTCAAGAACCTGACATGGAACGAGACAGAGAATCTAAAGATAGCTAACTGACTCTACCTAACAGCGAGAAATATATAATGCTCCTAAAAGAATAAGAATGAAGGTTGGAGGTCTGAGATAGGAGCAGAGAAGTGAGGGGGAGAGAGCAGAACCTGATGAGCTGAGAAACAGGAATCTGCAGGGCTCCTGTGGTAAATGTTGTCAGGGAGAAATTGCCAGTGATGGGGTACCCAACAGACAATAAGGAAGTTTAATATTCAATTTTAAGTTTGAGATGCTTCGATATAAACACTACCTCAGGAAAATTCTGTGACAGATGTAACCTAATGGTAGTATTTATAAAATAAAGAAATTTGGCTTTTAGCACAGGGCAAAAAAGTTCCACAAATGAAACTAATTCCAAAAGAGAAGGTCTAGGGGAAAACGTAGTTGGGAGAAATATTAGTCTGTCCCTTGTCCTTCACTTTTTCACACACCCTAATCCCCTACCTCCAATTATCCCTGGAGAGATTCCAGGACTGTTTACATGAAAATTACAGGAAGGGACAGAACTTTCTAAATCCATAATAATGTAAAATTTATGAAACTTTTAAATACATTATGTAAACCAGTTACAGATTGGAATATTCAAATTCAGGATGGATAAATGGCCAAGCAATTTATGGCATAACTAGGAAGATAGAAGTGACATCTAAATTATGTAAGTAACACAAGTTTTCTAGCTTTCAAACCAGTGTACTTTTAGCTAATTTTCTCCAAATGTTACTGGTGAAGAAATATATACCAACTTCAAAATAAAACTTGAGATATCCCATTGGAAACAAGCTAGTATTTTTTCTCTGGTTTGTGAACATCTTTTAGGTGTTTTTTATTCCTTCTTATTTCAGTAATAATATTCTTAAGTAAAGTCCAAAATAGCCCTGCTTCTAAAATAGCCTCTGATAAAGTCACAGTACAGACCCAATAGGCATTGACTTTCCATGACACTAACACAAAAATACTTATAAAAAGCCAAGTTGAATAAATACATGGAACAACAAGGACTATATCTGTGTTTTAAATCTGTATTTAGCAGCAAAATTAGTTAAAAAGCCTGGAAAGTTTTGTCAAAGCCATGAAACAGACTTATCAAATTAATTAAATTTAAGTATGACTAAATCACATGTCAGTTTGATCAAAATAGTTTCTTAGTTCCATATATAGATACAATCTTAGTGGTAGGTATTTTTATGACATCCTAATGTACCTCAATACTTTATTACCTATGTCCATCAAGAGCCTAGAATTTTGAAAGACATAATATTTCTTAATAAAATCAATAGACTTTTTGTTAGGAGACAGCATAAGAAGTGGATGACATCTAGTGGCAGCTTTTGCAACAACAGCTGTGAGTTCCAATGATTCAATAATTGCCTTATTTTTAATGCAATTCTTTGTAGGTGGGTTTCGGCTACTTGTAAATTTACAACTCCTCTTTTTAAAAAATAACCATTACTTCAATTATAGAATTATAATATATGAGAGTCAAATTCTGTTTTTCTACAACTTTGGCCATACCGAAGGTCATCCCCCTTCTCAAAATGTGTAGTTTGTTGTTTTCCCACTTTCCTTTTGATCCTTGTCTTTAAATACATTCCTTCTAAATACACAGCACAAAAGAAATCATATTTCTCATCTAGTAAAATTAGTATTTTTCACATTCAAATGTGTTGTAAACTATGGTAAAGGTACCCTATTAAAACTGAAATCTTTTGTTTCATTTTAGTACAAGCCATTCTATTTAAACAAAAAAGAATCGCACCTTTATTATTTATAGTTGTCATTTATTAAGTCAATCGACATATTTGTGAACAAAGTTAGATGCATGAAGAAAGACTTATTAAGTGATAAACATAAAAAATAAAAATATAAACAACTGCTGATGTTTATTGTGATCATGTCATTTACCAGGCAAGTGTGATAGGTGATTTACTTATTTCATTTAAGCCTCACAGAATCTCTTTACTATCTATATCTGCATCTTCAGATGACAACACTGAGGCTTAGAAAGTCAGGCAATTTGTCTAGGGTCAGACAGTTCAGAAATGCCAAAGAACTATCTGACTCTAAAGCCTAATTTGTGAGTACTACATTATAGTGAACACGTAGTTTCAAATCCACTTCCACTCACTCC